CCCCCCCCCTCAGAGAGGCATAAGCTCATTTTGGCAGATGCTATGAGCGGACATCTGATGAGGCAGGTCATCACCTACACAAGTGTATGCGTTTCTGAATGAGCCTGCTTCTAAGGTGCCACCTTGCCCTGCCTTTCTGCCTTTCCCAGTGATGCCTGCCTTAGTTTGGGGAAAGTCAGCTCCATGCTCTGGCACCTGCTCAGAGTGAAAACTTAGGAAAGCCCTGTCAGCTTTCACTTCTGTTATGGAGCAAGAGTATGTGCAATCTGTATATGCAAGGGTAACACTGCCAAAACTTAGGTCAGCTTCATTACACTCTTGCTTTGGAAAGCTCTGAGCAGCAGCAGAGGCAGGCAGAGGAGTTATTTCCTGGGGAAGAACCAAAACTGGAGGCTGGAGGAAGGGTAGAATAAAAGACATGTCAACCCCCTTGTAGCAGTTGAATGGCAGGGGACGGGTACAATAGTGAGACTTTCTTTCTACGACCAGTAGGTTGTGGGTGAGTGGGAATGGGAAGAGGAAATGTTTTTTTTCTTTGCAGTAACAGTCACTAGGGGCTTGGGAGGGAGGGAGATCCAGATCTATCAGGGACTGATGTGAAAGCCAGAATGCCAGCCCGCTCCCTATTCACATCAGTTGTGGGTGAGCTGTTCATCCCAGGTGCTGCCCCAAGACAGCAAACCCTCCTTCCTCTCCTGAAGCATCAGAAAATTCTCCTATGTTGGTCTCTGGCTTGTAAGCAGCTCGTCATTTCTTCCAAGTCTTGGTCTAAGTGTGTTGGCAGGAAATTCACGTGGGTCAAGAGATCAGTAGGCTGAAGGTGCTTTGTTGCAGCTTGCTAATACCTTTGAGACGTGTAGTGGTGCAGTGCATTTACTTGGTGGCAGAGAGGAAATCGTACTCTCGATTCTGTAGAACGGCTACAGAACGGATGTGGATGCTGGGATTTCTGGAAGAAAGATCCCCTGCGTAGGTGAGCAGCTGCCGTCGTCTGTGCTAGTGACTGTTTACTCCTTTTTCTTCTGGCAAAGATTCTCAAGGACGGTGGCTTCCTGACCCCCATTCTCACTCGGCTGATGAACTTCTTCCTGTTCTCAAGAGGGTGAGTTGATGTTGGACTTATTGTATGAGACAAGCCTAGCCTGACAGGTGGATGGAGTAACCAAAACCCACAAAACACTCCCACTTGCATCTTTTCAGACACTGCATGGCTAGTGCTTACGCATTCCTCCCTGTGCAGGCAGTGGGTCCATGGGCAGTTCATGAATAGAGGCAGATGCATAGTGTTGAGCCATAGTTGAGCGAAGCCCCCTTTAACACCCTGGCCTTTTTAAACCCCTTTCCTTCTTTCAAAGCTGCTCACTTGAGGACATCTGCTAGGTATGACACTGTCCCGTTCCCGAGGGTGACTTCTGGTGCCCCACAAGAATAATAAGAGTTGGGTTCTCTATTGAAGCAGCTTTCCCAGAGGCATGGAAAATGGGCTGGCAGGGCCTTCAGGAGGTCCAACCCCTAGCTCAGGGCAGAATTTAAACCATCCTCTGTGTCTCTTGAAATGCTGCAGGGATTTTCATGTGTCTCTGGATATTTCCTCCCCCAGGCTTGGGGCAGTCTTTGGACCATACACACAGCCTTCACAGGCGGAGTACTGGGACATGTGGACAGCCATCCGGACCAATGATGGAAACCTCGTCATTGACAGGTGCATTCCTTTAACTTCTCCATCGACCCCTCCGTGTTGGCAGCTGCTTCTCTTGGTGGCCAAGGTTTTCACTGCCAGAAACGCAGCCCTGGCTGCATGTAGATGGAGCATGGAGAAGGAAGAGCCGGCAACCCAGTCCCAGCCAAAGTGTGCTGGTTAGATGCTTGTTGCACAGTGATTGAGGTCTGAAGGGGAGATGGGCCATGCACTGTTAGGGTGGGCAGTGGCTGTGGAGAGATCACAGTCCGCACTGAAGCAGTTTGAAGAGCTGTGCTCTATTTAGAGTGGCAAAGCAGCACAAATATCCCCTTGGATGGTGGAAAGCATCTGAGTGTGGTCTAGGAGGCAGAAATACCCAAGTTCTGTCTCTGCCCCTGGCTTCTGTTGTGGCTTGGACAAGTTGATTTAAACTACCTGCAAGAGATGCCGAAGGAGTTTATGCTTTTTCTCCTGTTTTCTGATGGGTCGTTTCCTTCAAGATAAGCTGAGAGGTTCATGTTCAGTGCCAAGAATGGTTTTCTCTGCTTCAAGTTTTCCCTTGGAGGATGTGGCAGTGCAGGTTATGTCCCTTCAGCTCTCATTTCAACTGGTAAGGGGTGGGAAATGCTCATTATTTAACATGAGCAGAGAGTTAGGTGGCTATGCTAGCGTGAAGTCAAGGCAGATTTGCACCTGAGGCAGACTGAATCAGAGAGGCACCCGCTCTTGTGAGCAACGGCTTGCTTATGCACCTCTGATTCAACAAGTCTATAAGGTGCAAATCTACCCTGCCTTTCATTTAACTTGAGTTGTCTTCCAGCTGTTTGGGTGGGAGCTGAGGCAGATACGCGGCAGTGAAAGGAAACAAACAGAAGTCAGACACCTGAATGGAAATCACCTCCTTCCTCAGTTCATTGGGTTTCACTATGGTGCCTTTTCGCATAAACCTGTTCATTGTAGGGAGAGATTTGTAGGAAGATTGTAAAAATGGCTTCTTTTTCTTCCACGCGGCATCTTCAGCTGCTGCGTCTGTGGAACAGGGCTCATTGCACTCCTTCAGTCCCTTGCCAGCTGCTGTGAGGCATTGTTAAGCAGTATCTGTAGGACATAAGGAAGGTATAAGTGTCCAGTGTGGTGATAGCCTAGAGGAGGCTGTTGAAAGGACCCTGTCACGGTGCTTTTCATACAGAAGACAGGGCAAGGTGGCACCTTGGAGACTAACTAGTTCAGAGAGACATGATCTTTTGCAGGTAGAAACCTACTGTGGCACGTACACTGCCGTGAATCTCATCCGTGACTCCTCAGTGGACAACTCAACTCAACTCAACGCTTTAATGGGAAAATCAGTGCAAAAATCTTTCCTCTAGGATTGAATGGCCGTCAGGCATTTGCCTTCTTCACTCTGCACTATGTTGTCAGAGGATCTCCCTTGCTGGAGGTCAGAAGAACCAGTCATGGCTCTTTTATTTTGTTCTGAAGATAGGCTACGATGCCCAGCCTTTGGCCACGCTGCCACCGGCCATTTATAGTAGATCTAGCTGCTACTAGTGGGAGCTGAGTCAACACCAAAAGGAGGAGATAAGAGGATTATGGGATTGACCCAGATGGCTGCACTCACCAGCTCTCTGAACTAAGACCAGTTCAGCCAAGATGAGGCAGGGATGTGTTTTCAAAGCTGGCTGCTACCCTAGAAACCCCACTCCTATCTCCAGCCTGGTGTTAGACCACCATGGGCTTTCCCTGGATTCAACTGTACATCCCTCCTGCAGTCTGCTCGCTAAGCTTATTCAGTGCAGCTGTCCAGGCTCAGAAGGGTCTTTGCAGTCATAACAGCTGAGAACAATTTTAAATGCAAATTTTAGAGCCAGGAGGAAAATGTTGCGGCCTTCGGAAAGCAGCTTCGCAGCCCCGTAGCAGAGGCGCTGCTCTGAGTAGCGCTGAGAGATCAACTTAACGGCAGGTCTGCACTGCTCAGAGCAGCTGTGCTCAACATTTTGGCTCCACGAGCTGGATGAGTGTCCTAAAGCTGGTGTGCGGGCTGGATGGAGCCCTGCGCATCAGGATCAGGACCCTCCTGTCTCACTTCTGCATGCCAGGATTGGGCCCCAACACCGCCTCTGCCTGCTGGGTTTGGGCCCTGGGGGGCACTGCCCCCCCACTCCCACAAACCAGAATTGGGGCCTGTGGGCCTGGTGCTGCCCCATCCCAGCCACCTACATCAGGCCTGACCCCGAGTGCTGGGATCGGGCATCCAATCCAGGGCTCCCCATGTGTCTGGCCATTCAGCAGCAGGGGAGCGGTGCCTCTGCTCCCTCGCTGCCAAATTTCCGGAGCTGTGCAGGCCAGATGTGGCGTGCAGCTGGGGTCGAGCACTCCTGGTGCAGAGGGATCCTAGCCAGCTCAAAAACAGTAAAGCTGTGTTAGCGTGGTGGGAAACTGGGTTAATTAGCTCAACAGAGAGCTGTGCATGCTGTATCAGCTCCTTGCCAGCTTGCTCCGGTCTCTGAAGTCTTCAGAACAGTTTGCACAGGAAGGTGGAACCAAATGTCGCTGTCCCTTTTTTTCCCCTCTCTCGATCCCACTCCTCAGCAAGGGGCCTTAATGCTGCCTCCTCCTCAGGCAGTCGGGGCTCGGCTTGTGGTAGAGGTGATCTCTTTTATGAGACCAACAAAATTTTTTTGCAAAAATCTTGTTGAATTGCAAGCTTTCGGGCACAAACGCCCTTCATTAGGCATCGGAGAAAAGATTGTAAAAGTTCTTCTGGGTAGACATGAAAGTGCATATTTCATAGGATTTCACAGAGGAGTTGATTAATGGAAAACTCCTCCTCTGGGCAGCAGTTTTTAGCTGGTAAGGAGCCTCTCACCTCCTGTGAGGATCTGTGATGATGCAAATGACGAAACAAAGGCAGGAGCAGGATCTCAGGTTTCAGACGGTTCGAGTTGCTTCCTCCTTGGGAAAATATGAAGATTTCATTTAAAAAAACTGGCTCAAATTTGATACCTTCCATGTGCCAGGTATCCAGGTTGTAGCCGTATCGGTCTAGAGGAAAAAGCAATCAGGGCTCATGGTAGAGGTGATCTCTTTTATAGATATAGATATCTTTTATAGGAGATATCTATAAAAGAGATCACCTCTACCACGAGCCCCGATTGCCTTTTCCTCTAGATCAGTATGGCTACAACCTGCATACCTGCCTCCTCCTCAGTAAACTCAAACCATTTCCTACCTAGGCGCACAGGCAGCTGAGAGCTGAGGGTCCGTCCGGTAATTTGACTGCAGGAGCTACCAGATCTGCTTTTCCGCGACTCCACTTTCAGCAGGCTAATTACATCCTTTCAGGCAGCGCAGAAACAGTGGCGCATTCAACAGATCCCGATTCAGGCCCTGACTTGGGGAGCTGCACTGATGGCTGCAGTGGAGGAGCTGGGGTTTTGTTCAGTGGTAACCGGCAGCTCTGAGCTCAGCTGTGACCCGCTTGTTTCAGCAGGAAGGACAGTACTTTGCAGGTAGCATGCAGCTCTTTTAGGGCAGGGGGGAGCTCAGTCTTTTAGGTTAATGGGTTCATCCTCATAGCGGAAATCTTCGAGTGCTTCACCTGGGCAGGTCAGCACCATTATCCTCTGTTACGGTTGGGATTACCGAGGGCAAGGCAAAGTGGCCTAGTTCCCAGCTCCATGACTGGGACACTGGAACGTGCTCACGCCTCCCTGGGTTTATCGTGAAAGGAAGTGGTGTTGTGTTACACGTCTCTGCTGGAGCGCAGTGCCAGCGAAGATGCTTGCAGCAGGGGCGTGGGTGCTGCCACATGATGGGGCCTTTTGCAGTCATCTTCCACCTCCAGCAGCGGTCATTATCTCCTACCTCCTGCTCCTTGTCACCCCTCAGCCACTGCTCCAAACACTAACACAAGGTGCATAAATGGCTTGCTGGAAACTGAGGCCAGCAGCATGCCATCCAGGAGCAGCTGTCGAGGCCAGGAGGAGCAGGCCGTGTGCTATCCAGGCCTGGTAAAGCCTCCTCTGAAACAGGGAGATGCTAATCGGATCCTGTCTGCGTTACTGAATAGACTCAACGTGTGACGTCCGGGGTTAGTCCCTTGGATGCTGTGTCGTGGGGGACCGTGCAGCTCACTCAGCATCTTTGGCTTTTTTTTTTGAATAGCTGGTCTCCTCTTTCAGGCATTGTTTTTACTGCCCCTTCAGACAGCCTGAGGCGAGATCCAGAAAGGAGGACAGTGCTTAGAGTTAGGTCCAGAGCAAGGCTGAGCAGGCAGACTGTTCCCAGCTCTGCCAAAGAAACGTTCGTGACCCTGGGTGAGTCTTGGGGACTGAATGCTCCAGGGGTGCTGAGCCACTGCGTGTCCCATTGAAACCAAAAGGCATCATAGTATTATAGAGAAATAGGGCCAGAAGGGACCTCCAAGGGTGCTGGATATGCAACCCTCAGGCTGAGGCTGCCTGGTCCATGTGAAAGGAAGGATAATGTCTGATTTACAGGGCAGGAGCGGTTAGCACCTTGTTTGCAAAGTGCTTCACAATCCTCTGAAGGAAGAAGAGAAGGCAACACAGAGCAGATCCCTCTGCTGCTGAGGTTCAGCCAGGATAGTGCCAGGTAGATAGAGCTCATTAGGGCTATACACGTTACGCTGTGCTCTCTGATCTCGGCAGGGTTTGTCTCCATGTGCCCACCCCACTGTCAGTGCAGCCTGGTACCCACGCTAGCAGCATCAGAAGATTTGGGGATGCTGTTCTCAGGACAGAGCCAAGGCATTGCCCTCAGGCTACGGGTCCAGAAGTCAGCACCTGCTCTGGGGCAGAGGGCTTCAGCCTCCAGGACTCTGACTCCAGCCCCTTTTGCTGAATTGGGCTGCACTGGGGAAGGGAAAGAAAATACAGCCAAGAACTCCCCTCACTGATCCTCTTGTTCTCTAGTATTTTACAGTACATAAATCAGCGGAAGCAGCACAGAGACCGCTGGGTTGGGGCTCTGGCCTCCACCACTGTCCCACGTGAGTAGGAAGTCAGTTTATCAGGTTTATTAAGTTGGAAGAACTTCTCTCACAGGGTCTCAAAGACAGGGACCAGCCTCTCACTCTGACCTTCCCCCCGGTCAGACGGGGGCATGGGGATTTTTGTCCCTTGGGACACAAAAAATCTATTCACTTCCCCCAGCTGCAGTGGCTGGAAGTTGAAGTTGGACAAATCCGGCCTCGAAATAGGGTGGAGGGTGACAACCATGGGAAGAACTGACTGCTGTCAGTGGAGTCTCTGTCACTGGGGTTATTCAGTGCTGCTGAGCTTATTCTAAAAGAGATGCCCTAGCTCAAGCAGGAGCTGACAGCTCCTGTGGTCTGGGCTGTCCAGGTTAGACTAGATGGTGACAGTGATGCCTTACGAGTTTTGTAATTAGCTTCCCAGTTGCCAGCTTCCAGCAGGAGGATCTGGGCTACATGCCGACTTTATGGAAATGGGGGACCCCTCCCTAGCTTGCTCCTGCGGCCTTTGGTTAAGGGCAAGTGAGATGCAGGGGCATCCGAACCCCAAAGCCTCTGGGCTTAGGCTTGCACATAGGATGCCCACAAATGAATTTGGGAATATCTAATTTGGGAGGATACTTGCTGACTGTAGCACCACATAGGGTGTTTGAACGATTGAGTGTTGCTCAATCGAGAGGATTCGGAATTGCTGTGGCTCATTTGACCCGGAATATGAAAAGTTTTCCAAAAACTCTCCTGAACTTAATCCATGAATACAGATAAGGCCATGCAAGGTTCCCCATCCCCGTAGACTTTGTTCTCCCCCTTGCACAGCTACGGCACGCGTGCCTACTCCTTTAACCACACTGGTCCAGGGTATTTCCAGCTTGTCAGAGCAGACAGGGCTGGAGTGGCCCAGCTTCTTCGGAGCGGAGGTTCCCATGCTAGTGTCCGCTCAGGCCTGTACGTTCCAGTGCGACAGGTGCAAAGTCACAACCCCTCAATTTTCATGGAGCTCCCCAGAGACCTTGCTGCACTGATGCCCGTGTCTGTGTGCCGGGTGCTTCTGCCCCGTTCACCACACAAGATGAACTGCCTCAGGCTCATCTGACGCACCAGGCCCTTTAGAGGTCGAAAGTCCTCGACCCTCCACCAGCTGCTGGTTTACTCAGGCAGGTAAAGATAATGGGTTAGGAACATCCTGGTGGATAAAGCTGTGTCTATGCTTCTTTCTTGCAGTGCATTTAATCTACGGGCCCCTGGATCCTGTGAATCCATATCCAGAGTTTCTGCAGCTTTACAAGTAAGTTGTTGCCATGTACTGGGCAGAGCTAAGGACTGATTTTGGTGCAGGGGCTGCTGTGTTCAGTGCTGAGTTTTGATTTCCTCCTCACTTCACATGGTTAGGAATCAGTGGCTACACTCTCATGAATGACAGTCATGTAGATGCCCAAGTGTGCTCTGCTTCTTCATTGCCATCCCCCTTTTGAAAGCCACGCAGCTTTGCTTCTCCATAGATCAGCAGCTCTCAGCCTTTTTTAGACTCCTGACACCTTCAGAAGCTTCAATTGAGGTAAATAGGTGTGTAGCAGGATTTGCAGATTTGAGGAATCTGATGGGCCATGGCATGAAAGCTTGTGCTGTGATGACAAGACACAAGAAGAAAAAAAGGAGACCTCTCAGATGACCCCTCTTAGTTTTCACTCATTTTTTGAGTACAGAAAAACAACAGAGCAATTCTTCTGTTGCAAAGAACTCAGCAAGACCCCAACGGGATGGACTGTTTTTATTACTCTGGATTCCTCTTTGAAATCTCCAGGTTCACCTTGTGAATCCTGTCTGCACACCTCCCCGTGCTCCCTGCAGTACTCTTAAAAGAATCTCAAGGTACCCAGCTGAGAATCGCTGATTTAAATTAATAGGAAGGCACGTGATTTCTGAAGGGTCACCACTGCCAAGCACTGAATGTGCTGTCAAACAGAGCTGGAAGTCTTTCCCCACTGACTGAATTTAGTGTGGGGAAAAAAAGTCTCCAGGTCAGAGAGGAGAGTCGCAGAACTGTTTTGAAGGCAACACCTGGAACATGAAAGCAATCTGATGGGTTAGTTTTGTCTCAGCCCTTGCTGCTAGCGATCCCGTCACCTGAAGGAACTGCTGTTTGCCAGTCAGATCAGACAAAACTTGAGGTTCTCGCTCTACTTAAAAGGGTCAGTTAAGCACCCTCACGGTGCGGGCACTGCGACATGTTGTGCATTTTTAATCTCCCAGCTTTGATTTAGTCTCCCAGCTTTAATCAAGTCAGGTCCACTGTCAGCTTCTGCAGTATCACGTTACAGATGCTCAGTACAAAACAGCTCTCCACTGGAACACGCAGTTGTCCCCACCTGCATAAAACCATTTATTTTGAACCAAATAAGCAGTGGCTCGAGGTTCGGCCATCTCAGGACTCCTTTTTACTGCCATTCCACTTCAATGGTGAGGGATGTAACCTGGGTACACCTGAAGACTTGGCCTTTTGCAAGCTATTGCATCGGCTCATGTTCATGTAAAAGCACACAGACACCCTGGATCAGGGTGCGATGGCCAACCTAGCAGGAATAGCACTTTGGTTAAAAATGGCCACTGTATCACAAGACCCCTTGCCATAGATGAGGCATCTACTCTGTCCTGGCAGCCTAAGCTGCCTATGCCACATACCCCAGTTCCCACACTTAATGTTTGTTGTGTTCTTCCAACAGGAAGGTGCTTCCTATGTCCACAGTCTCTGTTCTTGATGACCACATTAGCCACTATCCGCAACTTGAGGATCCTACGGGCTTCCTGAACGCATACTTGAACTTCATCAACTCCTTCTGAGCACCAGCAAACTCTCTGGCTCATGTCTGCTTTCCATTTCTGAACCAGGCAGTGGTGGAGCGGATGCAGACTTTGTTTCCAGATCAGGCGCTTTAAGGCTTTTGCCTCAGGCCACAACATCCCCATATACACCTGAACCTTCTGAATGTGGGGAGGACAAGCCAGCAGGATGGATGCTGTTTGCCTTCCTATGCATACCCAACTCATTTCCTACCCTGACAGCAGCTGGGCACCAGGAAGCAAGAATGGGGTTGTACAGGGGGGCAACATCTCTCAAGTTGCTCCAGCAGTCTTTACCGGTCTTACCCCCAGAAGACACTGCAGGAAAGTAGCTCTTCATTGGAAACCATGCACCAAATAGCTCATTTCCAAATCCCAGGCATGTGTCTTTTCTCCTCCACGTGTGCATCAAACTGAGCCGTTGCACAGACAAGGTTGAAACGACCCGTCTGTGTTGTTTTAAAGTGTTACTAACCCTGAGTGTCAGGATTTAAAATACATGAAAGCAGTCTAAGGGCTTATCAACACTGAGTGTCCTTCCCTCGTTGAAGCAGCAAAGCCCTCAGTCCCTAGGCAGTTAAATTGCTGCAGCTGGCAGGTCAGTGTAGACCTGCCCCAAGACAGCACCTTGGCTTCTTGCCATGCACCCAGCTTTGCTAATTTTCGGTGCCATCAGCCAGTAACAAAAAGAGGCCTGCTCTAACCCTTGCTGGCTTACAAGAAGTCCATATGCTCTGCTTTAACACAGTTGAAGCATCAGCCTGAAGCACAAAGGGATGGGGGCTCTTTCCTGGAAGCTTTAGTTTCAGCTAAATTGAATTGCTAACTACAACTACAGGACTGGCAACAGCATCACCAGCGAGTTCTTCTGGGCAGCTGCTACTTAAAATCACAGGTTTGCTACTTAACCCATTTTCCTAGCAGGGGCTGGGAGAAATTACCTAGAGCTTCATTCACCCTGGTTAGGTAAGCGATTCCACTCTCATTCTGAAAACCTTACGTTCATTGGCACAGGAAGCACTTTACAACTCTTAAGCCCAGCTCCTGAGGAAAAAAACCCCAACAACTGTCCCATGACAACTGCATGAAGGACATCAGTGTCTGTTTTTAAGAGGCAGGGCATTTAACTAGGGAGCACCAACGCTTTGCTTTAGGCTTATGGGTGAGAGGGGTAATTCATAACCCAATTTAACCTTAATGGGACATTTAAATCTCTCTAGGCTTTACCTGGTTTTGGTCCAAAATGTATGCTGTATGTTGGAGGCAAGAATTCTTGCAGGTGATATCTTTTATTGAACCAACTGCATGGTTGGGCAACATAGGGAGTGTGTATACATTAAAATCATAAAAATCAAAGGACCGGAAAGGAGCTGCAAGATCACCAAGTCATGGGCAGGAGGTTATTGGGCTCAAAATGATCTAGGAGAAGTCTTCCAGGTTTGTTCTCTTGGTAGAAAAAAAAAGAAGTTACCCACAACCACCTGTACAGACATTCGAATGCTGAAGCTCAGCAAGAATGCCCTGCAGGCTCCCTTAGTCTTCCTGATGACAGATGGCAGCAATGCAGAAATTAGATGCCCCAGACTGCCTAGGGTCAGCTTGTGTTATTAGCATGTACAGACATGTGTTCTCTTAAGAGAAATGCTCCTGGAAGTGATTTAACCCTGGCTGATCCCACGTTATTTTTCTCTCGGAGTGGTCATTTTCATTCTGGGAGACAAAGCTTGAACATGTATATGCTTGTGGTTTCTCCTGGGACAGTTGCGATTCTCCCAAGAGAAACTGAATGTCTGTTGGAGGCCTCAGGCAAGCTTGAGGGCATCACAGTACCCTTTCCTCAGGCCTCTGGGAGATAACACCCACAAGAATTGCTGCCTCTCGTATTTCCTGGACCACCATGGCAACACCATCACCTCAACACTACCAAAATATTTTGTATGTTGGCCTTTTTCACAGGAACTAGGGGGAGGGAAGGAGGAAAGAATCATTAAGTTGGTTCTGAAGCTGCCTCAAGAGCTATCACTTTGTGAAATTGCTAGGATCTCCAAATACCCTTCAATAACAAGAGTTTCCTATTGAATGATGGGGTGTACGTTTGTTGGGCTGCTTTTCCTGTTCTGAACTGAGGTTTATCACAAGCTCATCTGAGCTCCTGCAATTCTCCCATCCCAGGACTGAGAAAAGCCAGAGCAACAGGCACACGTTAAAGAGTGTGCACTACTACTGCAGTAGTGTAGAGATTTTATTTTACTAGGAGCAGTTTGAATCAGAAATCCCACAACTGTGAACTGGAAGAATCCATGTTTATTTTCTGTTATTAAAAATCTCTTTTGACAAAAGTCAGACTCATTGGTTTTTATCCTCTACCAGGCTGAGAAACTTCCCCATTCTCTACAAGAGAGGCAATAAGTTAGGCAGGAATGTATCATGACCAGAGGAGGGGGGATGAGAGAGAGAGAGAAGCCGGCATTAACCAGCCAGTGCCACTTACTGTAACATACAAAATATTTACCAAACTGAGGAATAAAAACTACATGCAGGAGGAGACAGGTGTTTGAGGCACCAGTGTAGGGCCTGCTGGTGGAGTCCCAGCCACAGGTACTAAGTGTTGTGCTTGACAGCCTATCATGGACTTAGCCAACAGAGGCCAAGATGACATCAACAGGCGTTTCCTCTTTGCTCCTGACAGTCACCTGCATGGTCACACCATCTCCGAGGGCGAGCCTGGACCTCACCAGGATATCGTGGCCTCCTCTGTACACACCTGGGGACAAAATTATAGAGTAATACCAAAGCAGCTCAATCAGTGACTTGGAGCCTGGAAACCTGACTGCTGTGCATTCACAACCTGGCTACTGCAGGAGCCAATTGAAGCTTTAGCCACCTCTGGAACAAGAAGTGGTTGACAGCTAGCAACAATATCCAGATGGATGCTGTTCTAACGGACTGCTAGGATAGCCTGAGGATGCCTGACTCAGGAGGTTAGAAACCAACCAGCCAAAGTTAATGGCCTTTCTGCGAAAAAGTGAACGTCCTTCCTTTTCTGCTCCATGAACAGAGGTACTCGGAGCTCCATGCCATAGGCAAGAGAGGACGGAAAGAGAAGCCTGGAGGGGCTCCAACCAGTGGCCCTTTGTGATGCTAAGCTATGCCAAATGGCTCAAAGACAATGGACAGCCAGGTCCATAGAGGTAAGGTCTCCAAGCGCTGGCTTACAAACTGCTCCAGACCTTTCTGAAATCGATGCATAGACTCACAAGCCTGGAAGCGATGTCTAGAGGGCATCTAGTCCAACCTCCCAATCATCTAGTCCGTAGGCAGACAGTCATCTAGACAAACATCTAGTCCATATGCAGACACTTGTGGGGACCCTATCCGACTCCAGCATATGTACTGGGATGCTTCAGTGCAATTTTGCATAATATAGCTAACAGCAGAGTAAGACGGCGTAAGAGCTTTCTAGAGTCCTTCCAACTCCAGGGATTCCCAAGAAATATGGAGTGCAACCAAGTACAACAGCAGCTTTCAGTGCCTGGCATATCAGGATGGACTTTGGTGAGCAGGAAGAGTGAACTAGGAAGTGCCCTGATGCATTGTGGCCTCAGACTGACAGTGGGCAGAGAACTCAATCTATGGGGTACTTAATCCACAGGTTAGTCTCTTTAATACCCAATGGAAAGAGCAGCATTGGAAAAGGCACGTACCAAACAGCATCCCTCGTAGGCAACAGGTCCCTCGTCTGTCAGATGGATCTTGGCTTTCTATAGAAGGTTCTCAGAGAACAGTTCTGTGCCCTACTGGAGCACTAACTGCCAGGACAACAAGTCTGCATTGCAGGGGGTGCATCATTGGTTCCTCAATAGAAGGATGAAGCAGGGAGTGAGGAAAGCATGGAAACATGAAGCCCAAAGGGGGCAGCGCTTACCAGCAAGATAGAGCGTGTGGGCATTCTTGTTCTCTGGCACTTTGTCCGACCTCTCGCAGGGCTGCATGCCTAGGAACTTGACGATGTTATTGACAGCTTCTGTATTCAAAGATTGAAGGAGACTGTTATCTGCACCCGGTCTCTGCTTACAGGAACCCTGGCACTGAAGTGGAACACTTCTAGTTCACCAGACCTTCTCCGAGCACCAAGCAGCCAGCACATCGTGCTACCTGGGCAAGACGTCTCTGCAGTCTCCCCACCTAACAGTGCCTCTTCTGCCAGGGGCAGCGTAAGACTATAACCCTCCCCAGTCTGCTGCTCTAAGTGGTTTCTTGTTGCTCCCAAGTCCAACATCACAGCATTAGACCCTGCTGCTGGATCACTGAGATACTAGACTCTACCAGGCACCAGAAGATTCCCACCAAGCTGGGCAACCATCGCAGCTGGGTCACCAACCTATTACAGCAGGGGGGCTGTCTCACCGTCTAAGGTTTTAATTGAGCTGAGAGCAAAGGTTTCCTCCTTCTCGAAGTCGTCTCCCACTTCCTCCCAGGCGGCAGCAAAGTTGGGCTTCAGGACTTTTTGAATATGATCGGACACTGTCACCTCCAGGTCTTCCAGCTGGGAGAGAAACAAAGGGAGGTGTTCGGCTGCACACGGTTACACTGTAAGGCAAAGATTCTTTGCAAGGGGAAAAGTCAGGTAACAGCTCTGCCCAGAATTATTTCTGATACAACCCCAGTGGGCCTGGCTCTCTCTCAGGACTGCCCATTAACACGTCCTAGATAATAGAGGGGCAGCCCCACTGGTGGCTACTACTTAAGACTTTTAAACAATTACTTCAGGGAGGCAAGAGTACATTGGTAGAGGGGACATCCAGCAAGCAGGTACCAAGGCAGCTCAGGGAGAGGCTGGATAACATGCCTAGACCTACTCTATGGAGGGTCACTTCCAAGCAGCCTTCAGGCCGCCAAGGGTGTGAAGGAGTTTAGGCCGTGCCCAGAAGTGTAATAGGCACGTTGCTGAGGCCATGGAGAGCTAATCCAGGGCCCAGACATGCTGGGAGAGAACAGAAATGTGCTGGGGCAGGAGGAAGGCTGGCAGAGGGTCACGCAGAGAAGACCAAGTTGAATCTCCATCCAGCTTCTGCACTCTAGCACTAAAGGCTGTTTGCTTTTGGCAGAAGCAGGAGGTTTGGAAGGGGATCGGAATAAGATGAGGGGCTGAAAGCTGGAGCAATCTGGGGATGGAAACAAAGGAGAGCGTGAAGTAAAGGAGACAGCCAGCTGGCTTGGGCAGCTGTGCTCACAACCCCCAAGCGATAGGCAAAACACCCAGGCTCTACAACAGACGTACCACGTATTCGTCATCGTAGCCGTCATCTTCTGGGACCCTCGTGTTCGGGTCACAGTCACGGACTGTGAACTTCATTGTGCAACTGAAAGTACAAGCAACTGGTGGAGGAAGAGGGAAGGGAGAGCACATCAGAGCGTGGGGAACACAGTGTCTTCCACCCAGGCTGAGTACTGGAGCCCAACAAGGGGACTAGGAATGGCAGTATACCTGGCCCATCCCCAAACTACAGGCACAGCACAGCCCGACTGTTACACTCAGTTTAAGGTAAGGGGAGGCTCCTGGATTAGCGACATGCAGAAGCGAAAGCACATGGGAGCCACTGACGCTTAATACTTTGGAGCTAGGTCAAAGAAGAGTCAAGAGCTGTTGGAAATCAGACAGATTAAACCAGAGACATGGGCCCTTGCTCAGGGATTCAGGGTAACTGTAGTAATCTCCAGTGACAATCAGGCCCCAGCCTTAAACATTCAGGTCAAACCAAATCCAGTCCCAGTGGGGTTTTCACTAAGTGCAAAGGCAAGACTAGTCCTCTTCTCTACTGGGAGGGAATCCTCTCACTCCCCAGATTCACAGAAATTTTAACCCTGTGGCTGAGGGGGGACAGCTACCGTAGAACAGCTACCCTGCTTTTACGCTGGGGCCCATCTTGCTGGCACCTCAGTTATGCGGAGTCTGCTCCTGTATTTCGTTTCACTGAGTGCCCGTACATCCAACATGTAGCTCCAATAAGCTCCTGGCAACAAGCCCTTTTCTCCTGGGTTAACTCCAGATTCCTTTGTGTTTCTTTTTCAGTCTTCCACTGGAGTGATAGCCAGGTCAAAAGTGTGTATATATTGACAAAAGCTCAGTCCTACACAAATGCTAAGCAGAGTGGCTACTTGAATGAGAAAAGTAGTAGAATCTGACATGCAGGGTACACAATAAATTAGCACAATGCAAACAGATCAACTGAGTTTAGATGACGGATTGTACAGGATGGTTTGGATAGGGCTGATCCTGCCTCAGGCAGGGGGGCTGCTGGAGGTCTCTTCCAGCCCTCCTTCTCTACGATTCGAATGAAATCTCGCCAGGGATTGATTCAGAATTCGTTCGAGGGGCCGACATAAGTGAAATATCCTCCCTTCTCAATTGGTACCTGCAGCAGGATCATCCTGGGGCAGCTGCACAAGAGTGTAGCACATTCCTGGCTGGTTGTAAGGGAGGCTGGCTGCTGGGATGCAGCAAATGACATCGTAAGCGTCCGATGGCTCCATCTGCACAGTGACCTTCTCCAGTAACTGGTCATTTAGGGTGTTTGTGCAGTCAAACTGCAGGAGAAGCAAAAGAGGGGTGGGGGCTGTGTGTGGCAAAAAAGGTTTTTGCAGTCAGCTTTTTCCCTAGCTTTATCCTGCAATGGCGTCTTCTATTCACTGACCCCCAGCTCTGCTAGTTGGGGGAAACTCTTAAGAGCAGATTGAATTATCTCCTTGTCTTGATCCTCAGAATAAGCCTGCTGTTTGCCAGCCCTAATGACAAGCAATCTGAGGCCTCTAAGTATCACTCAAACTCCTGATTCAGTCAGGTTACAACAGCAAGCTCCCACCAGGAAAAGCTATTCTCCTCCGAGATGGACTAAATACTGATGCATTTGCAAGAAGCCCAGGTGTCAAAAGGAGTCCAGCTAAGGGGCTCAGCTTACCTGGAAAACTATGTGATTGGTGAACGTGTGCTTAATACAGCGAACAAAATACTCTGTTTCAGCTTCTGTAAGCTGCATGGACTCAGATGACTTAAATAATGGTCCTAAGTTCTTGAATTCGGGAATGGCAGCGAGTTGTTCTGCAGAGAAACAGAAACTCAGGCACGTTTTAAAGGAAAAGTTTGGTAAATCACTTCTTCCCTGCGTAAGAGAAGACACAGCACACTAGTAACACCTGAAGCATGAGACCCCCCCCTATCCTTTCAGCCCATACCTTGGTATATGTCCTGGCGAGATGGAGCGACTTTCTCTGGCTTGTTGGTTACTAGTGCAATTTCTGCAAGGAGAGAAGCAAAGATACCACTGTTAAGTTTCTTAACAGGAGTCTCTCAGGAGACCATATGGTTAGGGTAACTGAAATCACTGCTTCCTGGGCCTCTCGGATCAAGTGGGCAGGGCAGAAGGGAGGAAGATTACAATAATGTTGGTTCTAACAATCCTGCAAGATCAGAAAGGCACTGGGGCATGAGAGAAGATAGTCAGACTGGAATGGACTGCACGGCTTTTTGCCTTCCTGTGTGGCAGAGGGCGCAATCCTCATCCCGGGATCTGTTGAGCGTATATTATCAATCTTTGCAGCAGCAGGACCATTGGCTGCTGTGGTCCCCCTGCTCTGCCTGTGGCAGGTTCAGGCGTGATGTTTTGTGGTTGTGTCAGGGTTGACAGTAGTTTTAAAAAGAGTTTAGATTATTGGATGGTTTGGACAGGACTGATCCTGCCTCAGGTAGGGGGATGGACTAGATGACCTCTAGAGGCCCCTTCCAGCCCCTCTTCTCTATGCTTCTCTGATCTAGCACAGTCATTTAAAAACACTTTTGGGTCCCCTCTCTCCTTTCCTCATGCCTTCTCCACCCAGGGGCTCTGGAAGGCAGAAGCAAATGCTTCAGTAGGACAGGAGAGGAAGAGTTTGGACCATGGATAAGAGGGCAAGCTCCACACTTTGGTGGTGAATGCCCAGCTCCACTGCACCCAAGAGCCAGACAGGACCTTCAGAAAGACCCGGGGTGCAGTAAGTGATGTGGTGTTCAAGCTGTCCGCCTTATTCCTGGGCGTCTGGCCACTGGTATAGCAACCCTGATGCTTAACCCACTATGCCGCCCCACTCCTGGAGCAGGCTGTGTCAAGGGAGCTTGGCTGTTACCTGCTTTCTGTTCAAAGTTTGGTGTGGTAGCCAGAGGAACTGTTTTCATGTCAAAGGGTTTGTCAGAAGGCTCCAGCGTGTACTGGTGGAGGGCCTTCTCCATCCCAGGCACAGACACAGTCAGCCCTGCAAAACACAGAGAAAGGGGTCTTGGTCTCTCCTTAGGAACCACTTGAGGTCCAATGCAACAGCACATCAGGCAGCATTTGCTGCTCTGGTCTGGTACAGATTGTCCACTGAACTGGGAGTGGGAGGACGTCCCAGTCAATCTCAGCCACCTGCTTTCTGGAACCGAAGGGCCAAATGCTCCTGTACGGCCTGGTGGCTGGCTCAAGTCATGAGCAAAGCACTGTTAGTGCCTCCAGGGACTGATGCCAACAAGGCAGAGAGCACCAGCTCCGCAGAAGGGACCAGGGGCAGAGCAAGCACCTGATCGAGAGCAGCAATACTTCGAGTCTGAATACTTGGCCCATGTAATTCAAGGATCCTAAGCCAACAGCTACCACGCCCCTCACCGAGATGGGTCATGCCCATTCTGTACTGAGCAAGACAAAACAGTGGTGAATGACTTGTCCTGTGTCACCAGCAGGGCAGGGCTGGACCCAGAGCCCAAATCACCAATACCTCTGCTCTGGCTTCATCACGAACTGTGTTCCCTCTATGCTTCACGCAGGGACAAGCAGAAGCATTACTGCCTTCAGTAGCATGCCTGGCAGCACTCCTTCCAGGTATCCAGAACACAGCGATTGAGGCTGCATGGGGAATGACTGCACCCACACTGCAAATCAGCCCAGCGGACGATACCGCTGCAACATCCGATCAGGAAGCAACAGTGCAGGGGGCTGGGACGAGCAGGGCTGTTTCCATCTCGCTCACCATTGAAGATGTAGGCTGCATTCAGGGCTAGCTGCCTCTGCTGCAGCACATTCAGGTAGAACGTGGCTCGGTCACGGACCTCATCGTCGCTGTCCATCATGCACCTGCCCAGGGAACGGGAAGGGTCAAGAAGGGAAACTGGACTAGATGTGGCAACAGTAGCCTACTCTGTCCTGATGGACTGACACATTTCACACAACACTGTATGCCAGTGCTACATGCAACATCATATGCTAATACAGTAATTAAGGCAGGGTGACCATTCATCCCTAATTAGGCAGGACAGTCCTGAAAGGGCAACATCAAGTCCTGGTCCCAGCTGCATGACTCTGGGACACCATTTGTCCTGGATTCCCAGTGTTGTGAGTGGATCCGAGTTTTCCATTCACTGTGAAAAACCATGGGAAATGGCAGGTTTCCCTTTGCTGGCTGGCACAGTCCTAGACTGCAAGGGCCTGCAGGGTGCAGG